CATTTATATTCATATACATAAAACTCACATCTTATAATCAAAGTATCCTCTCTCTGTTGACAGGGGCCATACTTTAGACATTAATAAGATCAGGTATCCATTCAGCACTCTTTCCTAAATCATTTTGCCCAAATGAGAATTTATAAGTGAGTTTTGTCCTCCTTCATGAACAATTTTCCAGAATCAAAACGAGTTATGAGATAAAACTTAATTCCTTTAAACAGATTTTGTGTTTCATGTTTCAAAATGATAAGGACAATCTGAGTCTATATTCTAGAACAGCAATTAATCCAAAATAAAAAATGATAGCTAATAACCTATTTCATAAATCTGAGCTTTATCTTTTTTAAAAACACATCTTGTAATGAGGGAATGAGAATGACTGGCCTGATGATTTGTTGCTTACAAACATGCTCTGTCTTCACCATGGAAAATATTAGCAATACAGCAGCTGGTCTTTGATATTTTCTTAATATATATTAGACTATGGACCCCCATAACCCCACAAATAAAAATAAAGCTGAACTCAAAAGTTTAAGTCAGAGAAAAAATGTTATATATAGAATATCCTATCAGCTATATTATTGGGAAATGATGAAGATGGATTAAGAGAATAATAAAAAATAGAAGTGGCTAAGACCCAGGATCAGCTTTTAATGACTTCATATTGCTCCAGCAAAAGAGGCTTTTATGTTTTATTGTCCAAAAGTAGTAACTCCTAAATAATTCTGTTTAAATATTTAAAAAATCAGTCATTTCTATTTTAAGTTTATCCCAGAAGAGATATGATATATACATTCTCAGATTCAAATCCATATTTAGTCAAAATTTTAAAAACTTATTTTTATAATGATGTTCAATATGATCCATTGGCATCATGCAAGTCATTAGCAGACGTTTTTGTATGTTGTATAGCTGTAGAATCAGAAATATGTTTTCTATTAAAGGATGCTTTAACTTCCGGCTTCTTGAATAAAATCTTGATTTTCTTCCAAAAAAGTTCTACAACTTTTCTGAACTACTTCTTTTCAATGTTTAACACTTAAATGCTAAAAAATGTTTTCCTTTTAATACTCCTCTGTCCCTAAAGTTATTCTTCAGTCTATGCCTACATTAGGTTTGTGAAAATGAAGTACTTATTAGCATCAGTTTTACAGTTCTTTATCTATTAATTTTTGTTTTCTCTTCTTGAATTTGATCTATTTATTTGTTTTAACTTTATCCTAATAACTTTGGTTGTTTTAACATACTTCTAAATTCACCCTAAATTTTTATTATTTAATTTGATTATTCCATAATACTTATTTCTTCTTAAAGTTAGGATAAATGGAAATATTATATTCTTAAGATCCTGTGTATTTCTTTTTTTATAAACTATCATTCTGAGATGAATTATTTATTTTTGTTTATTAATAGACCATTTGATCTCTATGTGTGAAGAGCAAACTATCCAAGGAGCTAAAGCTTTGGGAGAGAATTGTCATGCGCACAGAAATTGACTAGGATCACAAAACATTTTTTAAGTAAAGTCAAAGACCCAGTGAAGGAGGTGGTCATTCTTTATAAAAGTGCTACCCTGAGAAATCAAAAGTCACTTATCAAAAATGAGGATATATGAGAAAGATTATTAGAAGGACAAATAGTTGAGAGAGGTGTCACTTGATGATGGTTAGTGAAGGCGTGGTTGAACTGACTATGGGACACAGCTTGGACATGGAAGGAAGGGGAGCCAGGAATGATTTGGGAACTGGGAGACTGTACTAAGGTGGAGGCAACCATGAGAACAGGATGAGAGTAAAGAGAACTCATAAAGTGGAATTTCTTAGATATGAAGCATAGTGAAGATCTGTGAATTGCAGCGGAGGTGGAGGAGTGAGGTTGTAAAGAATGCCAGGAAATGGGGCAAGAGTTGTCGAAGGAGTATTCACATGAATGAGCACCTGGAGATGACTGAGAGTGATGCACAGAAATTGGATTGTGATAAACCCACGCCATGTGCCAAGGTCATGAGATTTAGCATATGATACTGAAGAGAACAGTTATAGATTGGCATAACTAGATGGCAAGAACACCATGCAAACTTATATTGCTTTTTAATGGGTTTCCTCTAGCTATTAATCGTATAGAGTCTACAGGTAATTGTGTTAAAGCTAGACCTAGTATGGTATTCTTAGAGGAAGAGTCAATATTTTCCTTAACTCTACAGCCCCTGTGTCCAGCAGAGAAAGTCACTAACACATTGCCACATAATAGGAATGCAGTAAATACTTATTCAATGATTCCCTGAAATTCCACATTCAACCCACCGGAGTCCATTAAACTGTATCATTTTTCCATATCATGAACAAAAGACTGCTTAACACTTTTTTAAACTACAAATCTTAATTGCTATAAAATTGGGAATTTTAAGACATTCAAGCCTTCTTTCCAAAGCACAAAAACTAGTTGCATTTTGATATTTTTTCTTCATTCATGAATTCAGCAGATACTCATTGAACAAGTATGTGCCAGGCACTGTTCCATACATTGGGAAAAACAGCAGAGGAAAAGGCAAACAAGGCCTTAACTCAGGGAGCTTAATTCTAGTGGGGGAAACACAAACAGTCAGTATATAAAAATATATATGCTAATTTTAGTTAGGAGGAAAGAAATTAAAACAAGACATAGGATAGTCGTTCTGGGGCACAGATCTTTTATATAAAAGACAGTCAAAGAACACTCTCTGGCAAGGTGAAATTAACTAGGAGCTACTGGGTAAGGAGCCAGCTATGTGAAGATTGGGAGGTAGTCCAGATAAACAGGTGGTTTACAGGGCCTAACGCAAGATCAAGTTTAGCAGAGGACACAAACAAGATCAATATGTCTGTCCTGGATTCTAGTGAGAAAGCTGTAGCTTTCCCAAATTCTTCTGTGTTTTAGCATGAGTATGATCACAGTGTGTATTCAATTTTCAAGGACCAGTAGTGGTTAAGAATAGACTTAGAAGTGACGCTACTAGCATTTAAATTCTGGCCTTTTCTTTTGTAGCTGTGTTACCTTGGGAAAGTTCTGCCATGCCAGAACCATTCTGGCATACTTTCTTACCTAACTAGAATGGTGATAATAATAATAGCCACCTCAGTTGTTAATAATTTGTACTAATAATAATGACCTTAACAATTGTAAGAATTAAATGAATTCCTAGATGAAAGGCCTAAGGAAAAGGCTTGGCATATTAAAAATTTATTTGAAATAATTTGGTCTTATTTGAAATAATTTGGTCTTTTCCCCCGACTATATTATATGGGAAAGATAAGCTCTTTTGTCTGATTTTTCTTTGTTTGTTTGTTTTGGCACTGGGAATCAAACCCAGGGACACTTAACCACTGAGCTACATCATCAGCCCTCAGTTGCTGAGGGTCTTGCTATGTCTTATACTCTTAATGGTTATTTTTGTTGGTTCGGATTATCCTATAATTCAATGAACTCTACAAGAAGCATTTGATTTTAAACATTTATTTTACCAGAAATCCCTTGGCAATAATTATCATTATCATTTTGGGGATCCTTCATAATAGTGGTCACTTGGTGGCAGAAGATGAGTGAACCAATAAAAATCTGTCACAATTTGAAATATCTTTAAGGGATATGTCTTATTTTGTTGGGTTTTTCATGAGGTTCCTATTAAATAACATGGAAATAATATGCTATCAACTCTGTCTTGCCAGCTGAATTTATTCTGAAGGAATGATACACTGGGATTTATGATATTTCTTTAAAAACTGATTTGAGTTGCCCAAAACTAAAATCTCACAATTTACAATAAAAATGGATTTTTCAGCTTTTTCTGAAAAAAAAAAAAACCTGTTTCTTTAAACTGATAAAATTGGACACAGTAACTATAAGGAAACAATTATGGATAGATAATTTCTTTTAATATTTTATAATTTTATTCATAATTTCATGTTTTAACCTGAAGTTCCTGCCATTGAAAATACTGCCTAAAGTATTATAAGCTTTGTATGCTAAGATTTTAATATAGTCTATGGAAAAATACTTGAGGAAAGTTACTGAACTCATCTATAGAGAAACTGAGAGTGAAACTATGAAAATAGTTGAAAAATCTTTCAAATGTGACATGTCTTTGAAAAATAATGAAGAAACTTGCTATGCTGTATGAATTTAATGTTTTCTAATTGTTATCCACTTGAATCAGATGAAAATGAAAATATTTTGGCAACCAGAATTAATATTTCTATTAATGGACTATTAAGAATTATTGAAATAAAACAACTTTTAAGTAGTATCCACATTGTCACCATGTAACTAGAAGCACGCACACTATAATCTATTTGGTCTAAAGTAAATTTATTAGATAAAAGTATACATATAGTCATGTGCATAGTCTTCCAAGTCTAAAAAGTGAACTCATAAAAGGCACATAGTTGACACTTAATAAATACTTGTTGGATTTGTTAGCATATGAAACACAAACCTACAAAAGGATTTGAGATTTATTAATGCACCTGCTCCATTTTCTAGATGATGTAGCCAAATCCCAAGTAACTTTGTTAAAGTCACAAAGCTAAATCTCTGTATGGGGTTTCCATTACATTATGATTTACTAACTTTATGTTTCCTCTTAGGTCTAAGTATATGACTTTAAATGCTTTTACATTACATTAGCCATTGAATAGCAACATTCATTCTTAAGGAAACATTTTAAAGCTTGCATTTCTTTAGGATTACTAAATAATATCACAAAACAAAATTTTATGTATTTGTTTTTGTCATTATCTACAATTAATGAAATTTTAAAATGGACTTTGAAGTTTAGAGAGTTAAAATTATGAAGTCTCTCTCCATCCCAAATCTTATAAATTGGGTTTCTCCTAGAAGAAAAAATAGATAGGCTTTTTATCATAAATATGTATAGCTTCTAACTCAATAAACTCTTATTTTCTCGGACATGCATCTCCAATGATGTGTGCTTTTTATTCTTATTTCATTTTTATTTACAGAAAAGTGGGCACAAACCAGAAAGTGTGGATTTGTGTGGAGCACATATTGAATGGGCCAAAGAAAAATCAAGCAGAAAGAATGTATTTCAGGTAAGAATGTTACATATATTCAATTTATTCCTATTCCTTCTAAATCTGATGTCTCTTGGGTAATCAAAATCAGACTACCTTCTTGTGATGTTTTCATGTGCATGAACTAGTTGTCTGAAGGTCATTATGAAAGACTGACTTCTCTTCCTTGTTGAATCTTTGGTTTGTTTTTTTTGTTTTCCCTGGTGGCTGGTTGCTATCTAAACATAAAATACATGTTGCATGTTGATTTTGATTAGCTTTACACATAGGTCTTTGAATTTTGAAATGAATTTGAAAGCTGTTTGGAGTTCCAACCTAGAATGCTTTACTTAAATAGATATATTGTCGAATTTTCAAATGTACATAAGTGAAGATTCACCAATTACAAACTATTTTGATTCATTGTCACAACTGTCTTCTGGTCATTAATTACATTCACCAGTGTAAGTAGTGAGGATGAAGAGAGCTGAACAGCTATGAAAATTATATCATTTTACATCGCATAAAGTTTTTGGAAAAAAAACACTGTGGTTAATAATTATAATTATATTCCATTGAATGGAAAGAACCAGATGAAATCCTTGAAAGAGAAGAAATTGGTAATTTTTTTCATATATGTTACCAAACTACATCATATGGCATGGTTTTCTTTGGCAATTAATAATTTTAGATTATAGAGGTTGATATTTTTTACACTTTTAAATGAAATTTAACTTTTATATTTCTAAAATAACTCATAACTTTATAAGCATATTTCACATTTTATATCATTTAGCAGCCAATGGAGCCAGATTATTGCACTTTTTCATAAAGTATCTTTTAACAACAATTAGGTTCTTGAAGAAAAGTAAATTCTTCTGTTCTTAAATTTTGTGGTGAGATGAATATATGGAGTCTTATATTTGTATCTTATAGATAGGTGAAATTTGATACTTACATTCTTACTAGAGGGGAAAAATGCTCTTTTCCAGTATAGGCTGCTTTTTCCAAATAGTAATTCAGGTATGGTCGACTAATTTGGGACCATTTAGATTTTTAAAAGAAACCAACAATTTTTGTCATATTCTGGAATAATTTTTTTTCTGGTTCTAGTTTTATTCTACTTAGATGAAGAGATCTTATTATTACCAAAAAGAAATGAAATGAAGAGAATATAAACAATTATTATTTCTTAATAAAAATAAAATTTAAAACACAGGAGGAAAGGGGAAAGGCAGGAAGGCAGGCAAACTATCTGGACAGCCCAACACACCCAGAAATCAATGGTCTAATCCCAAGAGTGATGAAAAAGTGGTTTTTGAGATTAAATTAGGAGAAATAAATTTGTTTTAAAGTGAGCAATGATATATAGGTGATATATTCTTTCTCCATTCTTGCTATTTTTGTTAATCTGCTATAAATAATAATTTTGAAGATTATAATCATAATCTGTATAACAACCTAGAGGATCAGGTATGCTAAGTGTTGTAGTCTTCATAAGTATTGTGATTTTAGCATCCTCATCACCACAGTTGTAAAAGAAATACATTAAATTCAAATTTATGGACATAAATCTTGAATGATAGAAACTTTTGAAAATGGGCTAAACTATCCTGTTGACCTTGTGAAGGTCACAATTGATGTTGATAGTCATCTATATATCATGTATACAGGGCTACAAGAAGAAAAATATTTATGGGTATAGTAAGCATAGTTATACAATAAAATTGCTTATACTAGTGGAATATAAAATCATAAGATTTTATGAATATCACTAAATATCTCCTTTTGTAATTTTCCTCATTTTCCACATTTCTAAATATAGATACTTCCAAAAAAATTTAAATTATTCTCATTTTTTGTAACTTTTGGGGAATGAAAATCTCAGTAGCTAGCATTGTTTGTAGTGTAATTGAACAATTCATGGGACCTCAGTGATTATATGCATATGGTCTTAGATCCTTTGGAGAAACAAGAGAATTAGCAAAGCGTAAAAATGATTCAAGTTTTGTTTTCTGCTTTATTCTTTATGGATGAATCATTAGGTTTCTGGTAATGCTGAAATCTTTCACCACCAAAATGTACGAACTTAGGTAAAATTTACTAGTATGTATCTATAGATACAAGCTATGAGAGTAAGCCTTTGAGAGGAACAATATAAACAGCTTTTGTAGTTCTGTTAACAAAAAAGCATTGGGAAGAATTTGCCAGAGAGCTAAATCTAGATGACTTACATCAATATTTGATTAGATACATTAGCTGGTCTAACTCTCAAATGATCAGAATAAACACGATTATATCTCAAAAACATGGTATTAAGGCATTGTTGGATGTTGGAGTATGTGTGTGTGCAGGGGTTTCATTACCTTAAGAATAATGAAGTGTTTCTTCCTGACAAAAAGACCATCAGAGCTTCAGCTGATGCGCTACATCAGAAATAGCTTTAAAATTCCAAGTTTGAATTAGGCTTGGTGTTCAATCTCAGTCTATGAATTATAGATTACAGATAGCAAATGACTATTGAGATTTTTGGTTCAAGAAAAATCAAAGAAGTGCAAAATTAGAAATAATTTAAAATTTGAAATCTGTCTTTAAAAAGGTGATGGATTAGCAATTATATGCCACATAATTACAGTGTCTGCAGAGAAGTCCAACTTAAAATGAATACAAAAACAAACAAGAAATTGCGAGTGCCTGAGATAAGTGAAAGCCACATAGGCACACATTTGTCTCAAATACACATACACACACATAAACACACACACACACACATACACACACATGTTGGAAGATTTAACTAGCTTCATTTTTTTTCTATATCCTGCTTGGATATTTGTTCATTTTTTCTTTGTATTAAAGGCTATATTTCCTTCATAGTCAAAGTCCTATCAAACTCATTGTGTGAATTCAGCCTTATTTGATTGGCACATGTTGACATTACAGTGACAACATTAATGACTAGGTTTTAGTATTTAAGAACTTTTGGTCAATCAAATCAAAATGTTGCTCTTTTGCTGAATTCAAGAACACCTACCTACTTTGTAACAGAACCATCTTTGATCCAATTGATAATACTTAATAAAAAGTGATATATTTTTAAAATTACTGTTAACTTCTGTACAAAGGAATATATAGTAATGTTATAACATGTTAAAATAAGTATGTGTATATATATATATATATATATAAATATATATATTGTGTGTATAATGTATGTGTATACACGCATCTAATACTTGAGTTTAGTAAAGTGAGCATTTATGTATACACACACACACACATACACACATACACATGCACAAACACAGAAAGATACTTTGTGTTATAAATTCCACACAAATTCTAAGTCAAATTAGTAAATGTTCATTGCTAACTTTTGCTTAATTCTGCAGAAAGCATAACTGTCAAGGACCATCACAAATTTGATGTTGCTTGATAAAACATTTAGCAACCAAGCGATTTGTAATGAATTGTGTTGTGGTACAAGTTTTCTCAGTGAACTTAAGAGCAACACTAGGTCTTCATCAGGGAAGAAGTGAATAAAAAGATTTATGTTCAAATCACATGCTTTAAACATTCTTCCTAAGTGCTAGTTTGCTCTTTGGTGTTTAGCCTGAAATTTAAAGCACTAAGGATTAAAAGGATTACAACATAATCTTAAATAATCCTAAATGTCATTTACACAGAGAGAGTTGTAATAACTAAATAAAACCATGTTGAAGGATGGCAGTACTCTCAGGCAGCATCCTTGACACAAACAGTGCTTCTTCCACCTTCTTTCTCTTTACTGGGCACATTAGGCTTCCAAAGCCTTTTCATAGGAAATTCGTCTGAGAACATGACTTAAAAATGGTTTAAAACAATACAGAATTTTTTTTAGTTTTTAATATCCTTCTGTTTCAAAGTTGAATGAAAATGTTTACTTATATTGTTTCTTATAATTCCTTCCTTCCTTCAAAAGTCTAGGAAAAGGGACTTTCTGACATGGTTATCAAATAGATGATATGCCTCTTACACAGTCCCCAATCTCCAAGGGAGTACCCCTTTACTAAATATACGAGAGTTCCAATGCACTCTAATTAATTCCATGCTGTTTAATTTAGCACTTAAATATTCTTTATTCTGTCATGTTAATTAGTTTTGCCTCCCAAAGAAAATATGAAGAAAAACTATATCAAATACTGCCCTTCACTTACTATACTAGAAGATTGGACACATTTTAACTGATTAAACTATTACTTTTTAAGGCTAAAGTTGCATTCATTCAGGAAGAACAATCTCTTTCATGAAATATTTAGGATATTTTGTCCACAATACAGACCTTGTAATACAAGATTCCCCAGGTTGAAACAGGAATATAGAACATGAAGATATTGGTACTTTTCATTATAAGGTATAAGAGAGTAGCTAGCCATTTATTCATTTACATGGTTCATTTATTTGTACTCTAAAGTCTTATCTTTTCTCAAGGCAATCAGTGACTAGGCCTCAGATTTTTATTTACATTTAAAATAATATTTAATAAAATTTTACTTTTGAATATGCATTGGACTCCTCTATAGATTCATGCTTCAAATAAGATAATTCTATAAATTAATGAATCATGGCTGATAAGGAATATGTCGATTGTTTACTTGAAAGGCAGAAAAAGTTAAATGACTAGAATAGATAAGTCTATTCACCTTCCCCAATAATCAATTTATAACCTCAACAAATATCATGGTCGAATTTCCCAGTTGAGATTCTTTTTTTAATACATTAATACCTCTCAGGAGACAGATTCTTTCCTCTACAAGTAAAGTAGTCCTCAGAACAGGTTTATCATTACTTGGATTACTTTTCTGACTTTGGATGAAGTCTTCTGGCTATAATGTATATTAAACATATTCATGTAATATTTTCCATGGATATGCATTACATTTAAAAATAATTTGATTGCTCTTCCTGATCCGAATATGTCTTAGCTTAAAATGTTTAAGTACTACTTAAGTTTATTAATGCGAAGATAATTTAATAACATCTTGGAAAATACCATTTTA